CTAATAATAATTTTATATTACACTTCACACAGAAAATATGGTCTATGTATAATAAGAGGGTTATTTAGCTCAAATAAAATATTTTCTAACATAAAAATTTGTTTCATGTAGAGAATTTCAAATGAAAAATAAAAAATTGAACTTGCCAACAAAAATGAAAATCAGTCATTATCATCCAATATATCATAATCGTCATCATCATCACTGTCATCACCATTAATTGTTATTATCATTGGACTTATTTCGTTTTATTTTATTTTCACGAGTCCACCAATATTCTATTAGTTTCTCGCACTTGGATATACAGTTCCGCCACACTTCTGAAATTGCAAGTGAAAGTGCTTTTCGCCAAGTTTCCCGAACTGCGTCGTCACTATAACCATTAGGCCCAATATGGTTATCATAATATTGTTTTGCATTCCCCATATATATTCGATGGGATTAAACTGGCAATGATACGGTGGCAGACGTAAAACTTGATGACCGTAACTTTCAATAATCTGATCCACAACAAAGGTTTTTGGCTTTGCGTGTATATTTGCCAAGCGTAATAATTCTAATTTTAATATATATTGAGGAAATGGTATATGTTCCTTTGTCAACCATTCTTTAATTTTATCAACAGTCCAAGAATTCGTTGGACTTTTGTTTAATACTTCAGAATGGTAAGGTGCATTGTCTAAAATAATTAATTACGCTGGGCTCACTTAAAACTGGGAGAAGTTTTTCATGCAACCATTTTACAAACATTTCTGTGTTCATATTATAGTGATAGTCACTGGATTTTGATTTAGATGAAAATATTAAATCAGTACCTTCTGTGAAACCCGATTTTCCTCCTGCATGTAAAATTATGTGTCGCTTCCCTTCTCCATCGGTATGTTTGATGGACTTTATGTTATCATCTTGCCATATTCTCTTGGTTGCACCCCTAGAAAATATCCATGTTTCGTCTAAATATATAAAATTCGCCCCTTCTTTTTTAAATTTAGAATATTTTCTTAGAAAGTTAATTCTCTTGTGCACGACAGAACTTCTTTCACAACGGGCCTTTCTGTTATTCTCCTTTTGAAATTTGAAACCCAAGTTATGTATCACTTGCCATAGACTTGTTCTGCCAATGTCGTGAAATTTTCTATCTATTAATTCCGAGAGAATTGTATTTAAGGTCACTTGTACCTTGTTGGCCCTCATTCGATAAATGGTATCACGAATTTCGAATTTCTTTCCATCTGGAATATCTTTCGTTTTCAATGATGGCCGAGTTTTGCGGTGATCTTCTTTCGGCAGTTCACTATTGTGATTTTGTAATATTCCTAGAGCATCGCATACGCGTTGTTGTACATACATTACCGATTTTAAAGGACCGCCATTTTCTTTTTCATCCGTAAATACTTATGTACACTACAAATTAGACTATCTACATCTAACACACGTTAGGCATTTTTAAAATTTCCACTAAATTTACAATATACATACAATGTCAACACTTGCAAAGAATCAATTCAACTGCAATATTTGTAACAAATTTAGTACCAAATCTGACCATTAGGGCAATTTTACCTAATTTCTTGGTGAAGAGACTTATTGGAACTGGTTGTCAATGACTAATTTGCATAATTTTGTTAATCCGAAAGCCGCGTAAGTATAACGAACAGACTGTATATTCGTTTTCCTGAATATTTCTATAGAATTCCATACAGCTTGCATTTAAATTATTTTTGACTATCAACAAGGATTTCAAAGTTTTTACATTTAATCGCTAGTCCAGATATTGTTTAATAAAGAAAAAAACCCGTTCCATTAGTTCCTGGCATACAAAAACAATACTACCAATTTGCCAATATTATTGTGGTAAACACTATTTTCATTAAAAGCTTCACCGATTTCATCAAAGAGCTCATCTTCAACTTTCGGATAATATTGAAGTAGATAATCACAACATTTATGAATAATTTGATATGTAGGTTTTATGTTTAGTGTAATCCAATTTAAATCTCTCTATTCCCTCAAAATGGCCTTTCCATTCGTCCAGATACTGAAAACACGTCCTGTAATGCCAACACTCTTTCTTTGAAAATATTTGATATAACTAAGCCTTCTTCGTCCAGCTTTTTTAAATTTTGTCAACTTGCAGGGTAAGAAGTACATTTGCTATTCTGCTATTCTGTCAGCAATTTTAGTTTTAAGGTCATTATAAATGACAAGGGCGGCTCCAAGACGAATTTTCAGGGGGGGAGGGGGGTAGCATTGCCTTTAGCCATTCCCTTTTTAGCATATTTTTTTTAAATAAAAGGCCTATAAATAGTTAGAATTTTCACCTCGGGGAGGTGGGGGTACATGGCCCCTATGTCTCCCCTTGAAGCCGCCCTTAATAAATGATGCTTGTTTCCAACATAGAAATATCCTGTCCATCTTTAAAAGCGTGTTGTGAAATATTGCCGACACATTATGGAAAAAGAAAAGCCAAGATTCGGTTTCAGGATTCTCAAAATAATTTTTAATAATTGTCGGAATTTTTTCATTAGACGCAAAATACGATTTTAATGCAGGAAATATTTCTAAAACGCGCTCTATAGCTGGTCGTAACGCTAACCATCGCGTAGCACTGTAATTCAAAAGTTTTTTATATTCTACGTCTAAAAAATTACAAAATTCTTTTAATAGTATAAATGTAAAAATAAGAATAAATTTTGGTTTAACGTTTTAAAACCAGTTTTCGTGTACTGGTTTTGTTTAATGATTAACCAGGACTTATTCCCTGAAAACAGTACTGTACTGGTAAAATCAGTACGAATGGTCACCTTACTGTAAGATGGCTTTGGGCACATTTAACACACACTGGTTGGCTAATACAAAAATGTATAGTATACCCATATCGTTGGCACCATTTGCATTAGGGTATCAATTTTGGGCTTCTCACTGGCTCAATTTGGATTATTAGATTTTGTAATGTCTTAATTTCATAAATCCTTTTAATGTCTTCACCGTTTTCAAATGTTAACATGAATAGCGGCAATGGCTTTTTTATAGCAGTTCTTTTAACTTGATTTTCTCTTTCTTCTTCTTCTTTAGTTTCTCTCCTTTGAATATTAACCACATCCAAGATTTTAAATCCACTGTGCTTTAATTTTTTCAGTATCTGTACGAACAAAAATTTATTTTATGCACAGATCATAACCCATTATTGACCATTTTTCTTGATAAACAGGGGTATACCAGTCTTTGCTGCAAATAGGTTGCAAAGATGGGCACATATTTTATTCGCGTTTTCGTACGATATAGTCTATGTTAAAAGTCATCAGAATGTAGCTGACTGTTTATCTAGTAGTAATAGTAATCATATCAGTTTTTTAAATTTAAATTTTGATTTTTTATATTTAAATAATATGTGTGTATATATTTTGTTTGGCACTGGTTTCAATACCAGCTGGCTAGTCAATCTTTAATTAATTTAATTAAAGTTTATTTTGTGTTAATTTAATTTTAAGTTCTATCCTTACAACATTTCACAGTTCACATCTTATTTAAAGAATACAAATTTCTCTAAATACATTATTAAGAAGTCCTATAATAGGTTTTTTCTAGCTCATGTTTTTTGCTTGTTTTTGATTTTTTCTCCTGTTTTTGTTTTTTGTTTGTTTTTGTTTCTGTTTTTTTGTTTCTGTTTTTTTCTTTTTATTTTTTTTTTATTTTCTATTATTTTTTATATATATATTTTTGTTATATTATTTTTTATTTATTGTACTTATTTTAATTCTTTTCGTCAGAGCTTTAAATTTAAAGAGTTTACATGATTATAAATAATTTTACATACATCGAGAGTCTTGAGCGCGAGAAGATGTGACAAATTAATAGGTAGTTGGACATTATGTTGAATAAGTTTGGTATATAGATTTGATATGTCAATATCATTTAAAATACATTCTAAAAGTAAATGTTGTAAATCGGCTACCTCGCCGCAGATGCATTCATCATTGTCTACCAATCTCTTTCTTCTTTTATAATTTGGAGTCAAGCAATGATTACTTCTAATTCTGCAAGTTGTTCTAATAAAACGTCTGTTGCTGAATTTGCTAAACCATGGTTATCAGATATTATACTAGGGTAGATTCATTTATTAAGTAAAATTACATTTTATTCAAAACACGTATGGTCTACTTCTTGTCCGTCAAGTGAATATCAACAATTTTTTCTAAGACAAAATGAAATTTCGATTAAAAAAACTGTTTAATGTTGGATTATAAGTTAATTGTTCCAATTAAATTTCACAAATTAATTTTACAGGAATTCCACAGTAAAAATTATAAAAATGAAAGCACCGGCGAGATCTTACGTATGCTGACCTTCAACTTGCAAACAGATTGAGTAAACATCAAAAAACTGTGTAGCATGTGTAATTAATTCGAATAATCTACCAAAATCATATTTATCCACTTGAACATAGCCGGAGCAACCATGGACAATGTTGCACGCTGATTTTTTGGTCCAATATTTAATAAAACTTTTCTTGCAATTGAAGACGTAACTTCGAAATGGATAAAATGTTTTTAAATGACAGATATGACAACTTCAAGTACAATTAAAATTTTTCGAGATTTGTTTAGTAGATTCGGGTTGCCATTTAAATTTGTACCAACGTACAACATTTAACAGGTGCTCCTTATCATCCTATAGGGAATAAAACATTACATGAAAATTAATGTTTTGTGTTAATTTCCTTTAATTAAAATATTCAAATTAATATTTTTCAATGCGTAACACTTAATAAATTGTTAATTCCGTTTATGTTTATGACCATTTTAAAAAATCGGCATGTAACTCGGAAATGAAACATCCTAGTGAAGATTTCATTGGGTTTTCGTTAGATTAACAAAACATAAGTCATCCTATTTATACTCTTGTTAATATTTTTTCTTGTTTTCGAGATATCCTGCAAAGCATATCAATTTGACACACAAAAAAATATAAAATTAGAATATATTTTTTTTTATTTTCAGTTTGTACAACTAAAGCTGGGATATGTTACCACAACTTGTGATTTGCTATTAGAAAAAATTTGGACGTACATGAAAAACGATTCATATATGTTGTTACCAGGAGAGGGAGCAAGAGTGTTACTGATCGTTCAGGAGATCATGCAGTATATAACAACAATGAAAGCAACTGTCCAAGGAGGTCATAATATTACAAATATTTTGTTTTCGATAATAGATTACATACTGTCTACTCCAAATGCATTGACCCAACAAAACGTAAGTAATAACAATGATAATAAGGTCCATTAAAAACTTTATTATTAATTAAAAATTAAAAATAGAAAATGTCCTTACATGACTAGTAGCACTGCGGTACAGAATACCGCACTATGAACCTGGCTGATACGTAGCTTAACTACAACTGCTATTTGTTTCCTAAAAATACAATAAACGGTTTTGTTCATGATCAACATGACGGACCTTGAATACCTAGACGCACAGGGGCTTAGCGCGTTTAATTTACATATAATTAGCAAAAATTCTCAAAAGCGGCACAAAATGCCATTACGCGACCGGCGTAGAGTTAAAGTCAAAATTATCTGAAACGGATCAGTCGATTTATGGTCGGCTCGAAAAAGGTATGAACATTTTAAAAGAAATGAGAGTACTGATAAACAAAAATCAAAGGTCGCCATTACTATTTGACAATGCTGCTGTAAATTCATGACTGACCTTTAGAATATATGTAAATTATTCCACCACAATCATTTTCTTTTACTGACGTAATGGTACGCCGTACGCAAGGTACTCAGCTGATGATCTAGGATACCAGCTAATGGTCTGCACGTCTGAAAACAATGACACCTACTGATTATCAGCGCTGACCATAGGTCGCATGTGACATGGCATTAATTAGTGTTGACCACTTAATTTGTTTATAGAGTACTACTTAACCTTTTCAGCCATACTAGATGAATCAGGAATCGGGTCTGATAGACCGCCAGATAGTGACCGATTTAGGTGCCATATTTTCGCATATAAGCCTCGAAGAGGCTTAAAAAGTACGTCGATGTTAAGTAGAATTAAAGAAAATTTACGAGTGGCTCTTGGGGATAACACATGAAAAATTCGATTTTTTTTATCAAATTTTTTTTATCAAAAAATAGAATTTTCCATGTGCTATCCCCATCGAGGATTGTACGCGAAAATAGAGCACTTAAACGTGTCACTATCTGACAGTCTATGAGAGTATACGGTTGTAGGACTGGTGGTAGGTATCTGAGAGAATGTTATTAACCCAGTATTTGCCTATTGCTTTTAGAAAATCTTTGAAACTATTATAGTAGGCCAGACGGCAGTGGATCTTGAACCCACAACCTATCGAATATGAGGCAAAAGCGTTACCGCAGAGCCACCTCACTCAGTTCAGAACACTGAATAATAAGCTCGTAATAACGAACTTGATGTTTCCTCACTCTTGATTCTGATAGTCCAGCAACATCTAGCTTCATTTACGTTCGAAAGTTAATATTTATTAGTTGCCGCGGAGTAGGTAACCTCACTGTTTTACGAATTATATAAGGTTTACGTACCGTGATCGATTATTGTCATATTTATTTTTAAATAAATAAATAAATAACCAGTATTTTTTTTTTTTTTTTTTTTTTCAGGAGATCCGAACAGTATTCGAGCTAGTTAATGAACACTTAACGGCATCAGGATCGGAACTAGTACGTCCAAAAGGAGATTCCTTTCGTTTATCGATGAATACCATTGACTTGGCCATACTTAACCTTACTTCTTATCAAACCAGTAAATATTTTCATATTCCCACATTGCCTGACACATCAAGCACGTAAGTAAATTATTCTTAAACTATTTTTTGTTGTCAATGTGGTCAATCTATATTATGTAACACAAGATACTGAAGTGGGCCTTATCACGAGATACTAGATTCAGGATAACGTTACTTCAGTATTAGATATTTTTTTGAGGCAGTAGTACATAGTTGTGAGTAAAATTAGATCATTAAACAAGTTGACCGTTTTCTATACCTGATTTTTTATTTGCGGGATTAATAATTTTAAGACCAAGGAGAAGAAAAGTAGCACTTTGCTCTCTAACATGAGAGAATAAAGTAACTGCTGCTTAAAAATAGTTACGGTAGGGTAGAGTGAGGGAATGTTGGCCTTCGAGGTAATTCCGGCCATCAAGTTTATCCCACCCTAACAAGAATTTTTAAGCGGTTTACGTTCACCGATCAAGCAAGTAAACAAACCTAACTTCAGTATCGTTTGGGTAGGTAGTATAGTAGTAAGCTGTTTAATTACGTTTTGGTATTCCAAGAGCGACGTAGAAACGGTAGAGTATCTAAGCCTCGATTGACGCATTGTGCAGTATTTTCTCAAGCACAGAAAAGTGAATTATCGAAACAAATAATGCATCTCTCTAAGCTCTTTTTTGGAATTATGCCGCCACAGATTCAGCAATTTGCTTATACTTTTGCCAAACTAAATTTTTTAAATAATCCTTTGAAGGAGGAAAAAGGGTAAGCGGGTCATGACTAAAGGGATTTTTACGACGGAATACACACATTATATTAAGGAAACCGGAATCAACCAGCATAAATCGAGTGACGGCTTTTAATAAAGAAGAAATTGGAATATTTTTTAGTATAAATTTTCTCCAACAAGAATTTTTAACGCTGATGAACCTGGAATTACAACAGTACAACGTCCAAGCAAAATCTATTCTGCCAACGGCCAAAAGAGTTGCGTTACTTAACTAGTTGGGAGAAGGGAAAACCCACTACTGTTATATGGTCATTTAGCGCATCTGGAATGTACATTACTCCAATGTTTATTCATTCCAGAAAATGAATGGATGATCACTTAAATAATAATGGACCCTCAAGTGCTATTTATTGCAGCTTAGATAACGGATGTGTAACTAAAAATTTATCCATTGAATGGTTAAAGCACTTTGAGTATTGTGTTAAACCTTCAAAAGTAAATCCAGTTCTGTTTGTACTAGATAATCATTCCAGTCACTGTTCATTAAATGCCTACAACTTTTGCAAGGAAAGATGAATTATGTTGACGATTTCTCCACAGACAGCACACTGTCTCCAACCACGTTACGTTTTATGGTCCTTTGAAGATAGCATATAATTCAAAATGTAATAAGTTTAGGAGAAATAACCCTCTAAAGACAATTACACCCAATATCGTTGTGGATTTGTTCAACAAAGCTTTTGGGAGAGTTGCAACTATCAAAAAAGCTACTAAAGGTTTTGTGGCAACGGAATATTCCCTCTAAATAATTAGTTTTTACTACAGAAGATTTTGCTCCCGCTTAAAATTTAAAGCCAACTAACTTGAATATAGTCTCAGATCCGAAGTAAGGTCCACCTTCACCCATCCATTTAATGAATAAAAGTTTCTTTTTATTACATAAAATATATTTATAAATATACCGCAAATGGGTTGCCTAAGAAAATATGGTCCAGACTATTATTTTTCTTAAAGTAAAAAAAACGACACACTGTAAAGTATTCCCCAGATGCTTCAACTATGCCCAAACTTTAGTCAGCTCACCGCAGGATGGATTAAAGCTTAAGTTTAAAATTTGGTGTTTTTCTCTTTATCCGTTTTTGATTTGTCTTCAAAATTCGAAATTTGCACTTTTCCTCAAATATCTCGAATTAGGTTCATTTTAGGAAAATCATGTATAGAAACAAAATAATAGATAATGACATCATAAACAACTTTTATCATGATTTTTATACTTTACTTATCTGTACACAAAAAGGAAAGTAAAAAATGGCCGTGACCGTATTTTCTTAGGCAACCCATTTGCGGTATATTTAAAAACATATTTTATTTAATAGAAAATAAGTTTTATCTTACGGATCCTGGACTAATAGGTCTATAAATAAACAAATAGAAGATAACAGAGTAAAGGAAAGGATAGAAGAGAGAGAAGAACAAAACATCGACGCAGATACAAACGAAAATAAAACAAGGCTAAATATATAATGAAAAAAAGCTGGGAAAGGCAACACTCTTAAATATTTATTAGCACTTCGATAAAATTATTTCTAGAACAGCCAAAAATAAAACGAATAAAAACAAGTTTTTGGTAACTTTGATGACATCCTTATTTTAGGAAGCCAGTCGGATACCCCTCAAAGTGTCGCTGTACGAGCCAGCCGATGCCGGAGCATTTCTGTCCCGCTTAGTTCCACTTCGAGTGGGGGGAGTCTGCGACTCAGATCAGGGCCTTTTATCCCCTTTCTTTGTTTGGTCCTCCCTCCGTTGGGTTCGTTTTTGGGCTGCATTCTTGTGGGGATTTTCCTCCGTCCACGTTCCTGCAGCCATTTTTCTTTCCTTCAGAAGCTTATTTCTCTCCGCTCCTGAAGGTTTTTTCGGTCTATCAGCAGGCTTAACCTCTGCTTTTTTGACCTTTTCTTTTGTTTCGGAGCAGTCGTCTGTTTTCACAGATCCTCCTCCCGCTAAGGGGTTAGAGTCCTCTGATTTCGCAGTTCCTCCTTCCCTTGAGTTGTCGGAGTCCAAAGCTAACGCAATCTCTCCGACAGTCATGTTCAAGGAGCCTGAGTCGTCTGTATCCGACTCTTCTCCTTGGGTGTCCATTTTTTCTAAATTATTTTCACTCATTTGTTCCCACGAGTATGGGGGAAGGGGTTAGTCCAACTCTGCAGTGCCCCCCGTACAGAGTTAAGGCTAGATACTTGGGGGTTTCGCCCGGTTCCCCCAAGGGAACGTTCGCAACCGCATATTAAGCCCTGCGGCCATTCATCCTTAGGCACGTTACCTTACACCGTGGCGTTGGACTTTGATGGAGTGCCATTTGGTTAGTCAATAGTGGTGCTTCTTGAAGCATCGCTATTAGCCTTATCCAGTGGTGCCACGAGGAGGCAGGCACTCGATGGTTGCATTTCTCCATCGTCCTATAGAAAAGTTACCTACCTACAAAGCAGGCGTGTTAAGCGAGTGTGCAAGCAAGCAATCTAAACTACAAAGCAATGGCCAAGCTACAACCAACCCCACCCACCCACAACACAACCTTGAAACGAAACCCAGAGCTTTCAAACAAAACCAAGGTATCATACAATAATTGCAAGGAGGACTAAGAGGAACATTCAGATTACCGACGACATTTGTATTATTTGTGGGGAATTTGGGAAAAATCGGGAACTCTGGCTAAGATGTGTGTACTGTTCTGGTTGAGCTCACATAGATTACACAAATAAAGAAAGAAATTAACGTATTTATGCGATTTCTGCCAGTGATCTATATTGCAGGGCAATATCGGACACTTATACAGTATGTCCCCTTAAGTTGGAATCATAAGGAAAACTTTTTTATTATTAATTTTAGGAAAAAAAAGTTCTGTATTATCTAAAACCTAGAATAGTCATTAAATGTAAAATTTTTTCAGTGGTATTCGAGGTTTGTCAAAAAATATGATTTTTACTCAAAAGTAAAGTACGTTTATTTTTGACAAAATCGAAAATTTTTATTAAGAAAATTGCGAAATTCTTCACAAACATCAAGAAAATGAAAGCGCGTATCACGTGTATAGTAGAGAAGAGAAAGAAAAAATTATGAATTACCGTAATTAGGTGGATCAATGCAAAATCTAGAAAAAATCCGATTTTTCGGATAGATCGGTGTAATTGCATATTTGAACGTAATTTTTAATTCTAATCAACTTTTCTTAATGAAAATTTTCGATTTTGTCAAAAATAAACGTACTTTACTCTTGAGCAAAATTCATATTTTTTGACAAACCTCGTATACGGCTTGAAAAATTTGATAATTGATGACTGTATTCTAGGTTTTAGATAATGCAGAACTTTTTATGAATAACTTTTTTTTTCTAAAATTAATATTAAAAAAGTTTTTCATATGATTCCAACTTAAGGGGACATACTGTATATTTTTTAAAATTTTGTATTTTGGGAAAACGTGTTTCTATATTTAAAACTAACATATATTTTGTAACTGAACGTCTTATCTTTTATTTACACCTCCCGGTTCCCGTTTAAATTAATAAATCTCCAAGATATTCGAGACTTTCTTTAAGGGGCCGGTATTCCCCACTCTACCCTAATATTTGAACTTTTTTGACTTCTTTCCCTGTATATAGATTTTACAAAAAAAAAATATATAAAATTTTAAAGGTGGCAGACAAGGCAAGTTTGGTTTTAAAAATATTAAAACAAAATTTAAATAAAATAAAGCACACGTTTTTTCTCTGAACAATCCGCTAGATTCATACATTATATTTTTTCTACGACCCACTTAAAAACAATCTATACATTTTAATCCTGTTTAAGGTAACATAACTTTAGTTTATAAATAATAATTAACACGTAGATTTGAATGTATAACTTTTACTTATTTATAAAATTAAAAAGAAAGAATAATTTAAAAGGGGAATTCAAACACTAACTTTTCCGATAGAATGCCAGCACATACCAGTACATTATCAAGCTTACATTTTCACTAATTTAAAGTTTAAAAGTTAAAAAACAGAATAGTTGGAGAAGTACTAAATATAAACTGTAATTTGTGGATTTCATATACCATCCCAGATAGCACACGACGTCCATTGGACGTCCATAATTTGTCCAAATAATGTCCTGGATGTCCATGAACTTCATATGGATATTCATTGGACATCCGTTTTCCGTTATCCAATGGATATACCTATTCAGAAGTCCAATGGATGTCCAAAAAATGTCCATGATGGACATTATAAAAATGACTAACTTATAATAAATTATTATAATTCTTCTTGTATAATTTATTTACTACTAGGTTTTAATTA